TTCTGTACTGAGTTTCACTACCTATCTCTTCTAAGTCTGGGTTACATGCCCTTTTCAAGTACATCCACAGCACTGGGCACTTACTACACTGTATGCTAATTAAATGCTTACTCACTGTTGTCCCATACTGCCTCAAAGGCTTCTGGTTATCTTTGTATCCTCCACAGCACAATTGCCTTCTATACATTGTTGGTCTCGCCAGAAGTGTTTTTAGAATGAATCCTATTTAACCTCATTTGTATCCAAGTTTACCAAGCAATTTCCCACTTCAAGGACTTTCCATATGCTAATTCCTTTTTCTGAAATGCTTTTTTCTCCTCTCTCCTAACTAGTTTCTAGTCAAACTTCAGGTCTCAACTTATAGTTCCTTGAGAGATTTCTTTCTGCATCCCTTCAGATAGGTTAAATCCTAGTTATATGCCCACAAAACACACTGTATTTTCAATTTGAAGCACTCGTTACGGTAGTAATTAAATGTTTAAAATCTCACTACCTGCTAGACTTCTTTTTGAAGGCAAAGGTGATCAGTTTATTGTTGCATCTGTTATGTCTAGCTAATACAGGCTAAATGTTGGCTGTTAGCTACTACTAATTATTATTATAGATACTCGATACATTTTTTGAATGAATAACCCTGGACAATTCTGAATTGTGACGTATATTAAAATGTACTGAGAACACCAAGCTCAATAGCACATGAGGACCGCTTGGTGGCTCCTTATTATTGAACAACCATAAGCACTGCTTGTTTTCAGCCAGTGACAACTACAGGTCCCAGTCGGCCATGCTGATGATATTTAAGGTTAAGAGATGGCTGTCCCCGAGAATTGTGCACTGGTGAGGAACGTGCACCGGCTTGAGAAGAAATGAATCTGAGACCAAGTCCTCAGAGAGATGGTCCGGGCGGGGCCAGCACATTCCGAGCTCATGCAGAACACTCTGGTCTCACCGGTCTCTGCTCTGTCTCGCTAAGTGTTATTTTCGGCAAGTAATTTGACCGGGACTCCGTTTCCTTGGTTCCTAGACTTCTGTGCACCTTCTGGTTATCCGAGTAAACTTTCCACCTCATTGGATGGTTGCAGCTCAGGATTACCTTTGGCGTCTCCAATACTTCCTAGGGATGTGAAATGAGTTCCTCAGACAAACACTGTTTGGAAATGAAACCGGGGCGGAACTCAAGCCGCGAGCCTGTGTCACGGATAAACACTCCGTACCCCGTTTGTACAAAGAAATGGGAACCACACGGGTCCCTCCCTCCTTCCTCCGCACCTGCACAAGCCCTAGACTGCCCCCGGCGTTGTTCATCCGGCTCCTTTGCGGCAACGGCCACATTTCCGTGAAGGGTCCTGAACCCCAGCCTTCAGGCAGTCCAGACAACCATCGCAAAGCCACGAAGTTACCCTCCCCGTCGGTATCACACCCACTCCCTTCCCGGGCCCTGTCACCTTGGCCGCCTGACCCATGGCTCTCCTCGCCGTTGCGGCCACTTCTCAGGCGGTCCAGTCGCCCCGCCTCTCGACAACCAATCAATGCCTGGCATGGACTGTCAAACTCCCTGTAGCCACGTTTCTAATGCGCCGCAACCAATCACCACGCAGCATCTCCTTCGTAGCCACGCCTTCCTCGAAAGGACAAAGGAGAGGGGTTTGTTAAGCGGCTGGCAACTGGTAAAACCGCGAGAAGCCGC